TTAATCTCACTAGTCACTAGATTCGCTAAATACTCACAGACCTGGACTCACGGAGCTTCTTTCCTCCTTACYCTCACTCCTCAGGATTGAGGACTCACGTCTTTCACCCTCACAATCGTCACGTCTCTCTCGGTAAGTATCATGTATGTATAAACGACACCAATCGTTGATTTTGACTCGATCATATTTCTTTAATTCAACTTTTGTATAGTTTGGTGGAATCAAATTATACGTGGAAACGATCATATGATATGATATTTGTCCAGCTTGATAAAATGAACTCTCTGTTCTTTATTTTTTTTGCTTAGTTTTTAAAAAAAAAATTATTATATGATTATTTGTGCAGCTTGATAAGATGAATTCTCAAAGTGGAAGCGATCATATTGGTAGTAGYTCTGGTCCTTCTGCATCTACTAATTTATCCAATGAAAGTGAAGATCCTCCATTGTGGAATTATGTGACTAAGCTAGAGAAACAAAGAGCAACGGGAGGAACTTGGAAGTTTAAATGTAATATTTGTACTGACATTCGTCAAGGCTCRTATTAYAGAGTTAAAGCGCATTTACTTGGAATGAAAGGGCATGGAATTACTATTTGYAAGAAAGTAACAAGGATTGAGAAGCTTGRAATGCAAAGATTGGAAGATGAATTTGAGAAGAAGAAAGCGGAGTCTGGACGTAAAGAAATTCCTTTKGCATGTGAGAAAGACTCTGCCTTGAAGAAAAGAAAGTCTTGCTTCTCACCTATCGTTGCAGTATTTGGTATTCAAGCTAGAGACCAACTGGATCAAGAAATCGCAAGGATGTTTTATACCGGAGGCTTGCCATTCAATCTTGCAAGAAATCCACRKTACCATRGGTCATATCAGTTTGCTGCTGCCACCAAAATTGATGGTTATGTACCTCCTAGTTACAATAAGTTCAGAACAACCTTATTSCAGCAAGAAAAAGACCATGTCGAGAAGTTATTRGTACCGCTGAAAGGGACATGGAAAGAAAAAGGGGTGACGATTGTGAGTGATGGTTGGAGTGATCCTACAARAAAACCTCTAATCAATTTCATTGCTACTGCTGGAAATGGTCCTGTGTTTCTCAAGGCTRTGAATTGTTTCGGCGAAGTCAAAGAKAAATTYTTCATTGCTGATTTGATGAAAGAGGTTATCAATGAAGTGGGTCATCAAAATGTTGTGCAAATAATCACGGATAATGCATCAAACTGTAAGGCGGCTGGAGAGCATATTGAGARTTTGTTTCCCCACATATATTGGACACCATGCGTTGTTCATACTCTTAATCKTGCGTTGAAGAACATTTGCGCATCAAAGAATACCGAAGAGAATGCAGTAACCTATGAGGAGTGTAATTGGATAACTGAAGTTCATGGAGATGCGCTCGCTATCAAGCATTTCATCATGAATCATAATATGAGACTATCAATTTTCAGTAAGTTCTCTCCTCTTWGGTTGCTTTCGGTTGCCGACACTCGTTTTGCATCAATCATTGTGATGCTTAAAAGATTGAAGCTTATTAAAAGGGGTCTTCAAGCCATGGTTATAAGTGAGGAGTGGTCTACATATAGAGAAGATGACATTGGGAAGGCAAACTTTGTTAAAGAGA